GGAAACCAACCATCTTCGACCGTGCATCGTGTGATCCTAGCGTGGCTTTTAATTCATATCGGGTCTGAGTCCCATGCGTGAAAGGATACCAGAGTTCCGGATGAGTGATTGAGAAGGATGTCCCGGCAATACCGCCCGAGCCGACAGCGCATTCCTTCTCAAAAACAACCGACCCAGCCAGCGACAACGATATCCTAACCGATAGACCACTTGCTTCTGCTTCGGACACCTTTGCAAAAAGACGGCCTGAGCAGGTCTGAAGATCCTCACTGACCTCACACTCGGTCCAAACGTCCTCAATCCTAGCAACATACTGCTCAAGATATATGGGTTTCCAAGGACCGGCCGTTATCAATATGGGACCCCAATCCCAGCCCCAATGGTCTTTAGTAATGAGCAGTTAGTCACTCCTTTTGAGTCGCCAGGGAAATATAAAAGCAGCAGACGGGTGACGCCAAGGAAACCACTCACACTGAGCTTTTCGCACAGGCACACGACTAACTTCTGTCTGCCTTACGTAGAAGGTATGCTCGTGAGAATGCTCCTTGACTAGTTCTCTTCCACGAAGCATCGCCGAGTCGAAAAGAATCTCCAGCTCGTTCGTATCCTTCAGTAGGCGGGTCACATCGACGCGATGAGAGATGAACATATTTTCGGTCTTCAAGATCTCGGCGCCGTTTAACAATACCGTTGCAAAAGTATCGAGGCCCTCGAACACTAAATCCGTCGTAGTCGGGCTCCCGGACGACAGCTCAGCAGGCTTAGGGAAATGTGTTCTGTATGTCCATCGCTTCTCTGCAAGTGATCGAAGTGCTAACTCGTTGAGGTCTAAGAAGGGGTCCGGGATCCTGTTGACATGTGAGCATTGGAATCGAATAATGCGGAAATGGATTATCACGTACTTCTTGTTGGCCAGCAGATCCATGTGAACCTGAGTTGGGACGCTCTGCACCGGAAGCCATGGATTTTCGCTCGAGGAACTACCGTCATGCTCACGGAATTGCCATCCGTGGCTCAAATCATGTCGTGAACGAGCCATCATGAGGCGTTTCCCAGCTATTCACAAACGGGACACGATGATCTTGGCCAGGTGCAAGCGCAGCGATCTGGAGATTGGTAGCCGATAGCACGTCTGAAAGGTGAATTATACGAAGAGGGGTAGAAGACGGCGGTGGAACATCCATCAATCCGGTAAATCTTATTTACGTAGGGCAGAAGTAAGGAGATACCTGGACGCTTCGCGCTTCACTTTCCATCTAAAATGAAAAGTATAAGTTTGTAGGCAGTCACAGCCCCCGTGTTCTCGTGCCATCAAGATGCCTTTACTGCAGGAACAACACATCGTCATGAATACCTAGCAAGCAGCGGAGACGGACCTCGGGAGCCAGCGGAGCTACCTATACCATACCTAGCGCTAAAATAACGGCGTTGGGGTACAGAGCATTCTCTAGTGCTAATAAGTTCATGGAAGTATTTTAGAAACGATTGATTCGCTATTCATAGATCGTAAATTAAAGATACATCGCGAGGAAACCCATATCCAGAAGTACAACCTTGGTGTTGAGATGATTTACCACCTGTGCTTCTCTGGCTTGGTGGGGGAGATAGTGCGGGGTTGCGGGGTTGCGGGGTTCTTGGTAGCTCCCGACGATAGCTTCAAGAACAGTCTTTCTACTCACGATGTGTAAGTGGATGTGGATGGACGTGCACCCTCGGTATGTAAGTTTCCGAGAACCCCCAATCTCCAATTAGGTTATGGAGGGGTCTGGCAGCTGGCGTCAAGAGGCAGGCTCCTCGAGGTCCGAAGACTAGACGGAACGACCATAGTGTCATGTGGTGGCCCCGGGAACGGTCCATGTAGCGAACTTCCTTGCTTGATCAACGATGGCGGTGTGAGGGAATGAATTACCCGTTAGTTGTTCGTATACAGGGAACCAAGCCGGGAGGGCAAAGCATATTTAATAGCGGTTTATTACCACTGGAACGCCCTCGACATCATCGCCATCATTTGGCTTCAACCACCCTGCTCTGACCCAAACGAATCTAGAATGTTTGCCTCGGCATCTCGAAGCATACTATAGATCAAGTATGCTAGGCGTGTCGAGAAAAGCTGGACATCCGGTTATGTATACCGGAGCACCGGAGACGCCATTTACTTTCACTCGACATAAAAGCCTGCCTTCCGAAGACCAACCGCCTACTAATGCCGTTTCTTGATCCTGCAGATAAATAGCGACATTTTGGTGTTAGCGTCGATCTGTGACCAGATTAGGAGAACGCCTCGGAGCGCTCTGGATCGGTTAATTCCCACAACTCAGCCCATGGCGATGTTGCTGCCGTTAATACGAATAGTCCGTTCTTCAAGCCAGACATAAATATTACGCATTCATCACAGTTCCCTTTCTAGTCTACTGGAGAGGTAGCGTGGTCGACAATGCCAATGAGGGATCTGTGAGACTATACCGTTAAACCATCTCCCTGGTCCGGTGCATAGGCATTATCGTCATAAAACAAGGAAAAACTGCTCGGCAGGACGAGGTTCGAGCCGCGAGAGTGGCAGCCCGGCTCCCAATGTAAGACTCGGTCCCACGCTGAGAAATGACTCAGCGGCAACGGGTCATCAAAGCCGCGCCACACAGATGACAGCAGGATTGAAACATTTGATGCAGACTACCGAGGCAAGAAAGCGGTAGTGAAAATGAGTATGTCGACCGGGCCGTGCCGAGAATACTTGCCCAGATAGATAGAGTTAGTAAAAGGCCTCAGCTAGATAGCATCGATTCCGCAATCCGCGTAACAACTCGTAGATCCAAGCCAGATCTTTCATCAACTGTCGCATCTCGCAGGTAACTTCACATAAGCGAAACCGCCTTTGAAATATGGTATGAGCCGTATACTATATGCTACGAGCCTCCCTCTGCTCGGGGCCACGTCATGCCGTGACTAATGCCAACCGCATCTGATCTGAGGCGCAGTAGTGCTCGGCAATGACTCACTTACTTATTTGAGATGCCGCTCAACACGACTACTCTGTAGGGGAGACGAACTGAGGCAGTCTCTCTCGTCGAATCGTTATAAGACTATGAATACCCATTTCAAACTGCCACGGCTGGAAATAGAGCAGACAGACTCCAGCTACGACAGGTCGTACTCTAAGACAATCCGATCGTCAGAGAGAGAGCAAAAAGGGAAGATCGCATAATTTGGCATCGAACGATGGACTACCTCCAGTCTCCCGACTTTTCTTCCCGCGTAGAGGAGCTCATGAAAAAGAACCATGTGCCCGGTCTAGCCGTCGCGATACTAGAGGGCGAGCGCACGTTCTCCGCGGGGTACGGCTTCGCATCGCTTGATCCGCCGAAGCCGTGCACCGCGGACACTCTCTTCGACATCGCGTCGTCCTCGAAGTCAATGACGGCCGCGTCGGTGGGGTTGCTGGTTCGCGACAACGACAGATACCCCGACGTGCAGTACGATGCGATCTTGTCCAGTCTCTTGCCCGGAGACTTCGTCATGCCCGGTCAGGGGTATACGGAAGGCGTCACGGTCGACGACATTCTCAGCCATAGAACGGGTATGCCGCGGTACGTAATCACAGAGAGACGCGCGCGGAGCGGTTGATATTATATCTTTATGCCTGACCGCATGCAGCCATGACGACTCTTACCTGGGTATACAGGCAGCGCAACCCGACGATTCGCGATCAGTCACCAGGAACTTACGGAACTTGACAATTTCTGCACCGATCAGGTCACAGTACATATATAACAACATGATGTTTACGGTCGCGGCGTACCTCGTCGAGAAGAAGAGCGGGCTCCCCTTCGCCGACTTCCTACAGGAGCGCTTCTTCGGGCCTCTGGGTATGTCCTCAACCCACCTCCAGCCGAGGCGCTCTCGGTCCTTCGGTCTCGGCGACCGTATCGCCACGGGCTACTCATGGAAAGAGGAGGACGAGCGCTACGTCGGCTTCGAGGCTCTAGATTGCTCTGAAGGCGAGGGGGCCGGCTCCATCATCTCGAGCGTGAACGACTACCTCAGATGGGTGAAAGCCATGATGAACCGCGAGCACCCGATCGACGAGGAGGTCTACAAGGGACTCATCAAGATGCGGACCATGGCCTCTTCCGACCCCGAGAAACGGGAGCCGATGACTTCGCCGCTGGTGTACGCCGCCGGCCTCGAGATATTCTACTACCGAGGCCGCATGGTCGTCGGGCACGACGGCGGCGTGAGCGGTTTCGGCAGCCGGCACTTCTTCGTGCCCGAGCTCGAGCTCGGCGGCGCTATCTTCGGAAACGCGGGCAGCGCGGCAGACGTAGCCACGATACTCTCCCGGGAGCTGATCGACGAGGCCATGGGCGTGCCGGCGTCGGAGCGGCCGGACTGGGAGAAGGTGGTGTCCGACGCGAACGCGGAGTACGCCCAAAGCCCGAAGGAGGACGAGATGCGGCGCGTGCTGCGCGAAGAGTCCGAGCCGCAGAAGATGCCGCTAAGCGCGTACACGGGTGAATACTGGAACCCCGGCTATCGGGGGATGACCGTGGCCATCAAAGACAACAAGCTCTACATTGACGCCCGCGATCGATCGATGGGTTACTCGCTGACTTTTGACCACGTGCGCGGGCAGACGGAATACATGGCTCATTTGAGGCCCTTCCTAGACGGCGACGAAGAGCTGCTCGCGGCGGAATTCAGATTTCAGAACGACAAGGTCGTCAAGATGGGGATAGAGCTCCAGGCTGATGAGCTCATTTGGTTCGATAGAGTAGAAAAAGCGTCAAAATAAATTTCCACGTTTTCTATAGTGCTTAATTGGACCGTTAAAACGGAATCCTGACTTACTGTAGATAGAGTGTGGCTGGGTAAGAGAAATAGGAATTCTTGCGGACAAATGGGTGAGTGCCCGTGGATAGCCACTCCATGCACACGCATGGCATTAAAAAAAGTATGGGACGAAAAAAGGAAACAACGGAATGAATGATCTTGTTCAAGAATATTGACCTCGCTGGGGGTCGAACCCAGAATCTCCTGATTTACTTATCGTAGTCAGACGCCTTGCCATTGGGCCACGAGGCCGTTGTTGGAGACCTGCTTCCTAAACCCCATTATATGCCCTGGCATGATTAGCCGAGGGTGGCCGGGTCTCAGCCTTTACCCAGTCTCAATGTTTTCACCCCAAGCAATTATCTACAACACATTACGCAAAGCAAGCATACCTGGGTCAATAGTTACACGTGGGCAAGAGAATGTACGTCGTATTTTGCATTGTTATAATCAGCCGTACTATGAGCGCATACTTTCTTATGTTGTTTATAGCCTCCGATCTTGCTGTAAATAGTTCTTCCCCCTACTTTGGTCCTTCTCACTTTATCAGGGATAAAGCAAGTTCGTTATATCCGCTTATTTCTTATGACCTTTTGTCTAATTTTCCCTTCGTTGAGGCGGTTGAGATGCCGGGTATGCCTGATTTGTCGAATTGATTACACTCGTCGACGTACCAGCACATACCCTGCGATGAAAGAAGGCATTGTTTAATTCTTCGCCATTAGGGAAGACTGCGAAAGTCGCGACCCACGGCCCGCCGCAGGCCCTTTGATAGCAGGGCGGCTCGTTGAGCTTCGCAATTCATAATTAGGCGTTCTCGTGTGTTTTGCCACTTGCGCCGAGACCACTTCACGATTCAGGTCAATGTCGAAACGCCCATTAAGGCCAATTATCAACATGATTTGAATAACTGAGGTTCGGAGATGGCACGGTAGTAGGGCTATTTGTTGAATTGGTTATGTTGATCGAATCAACGTAACTCGGCTCAGGCTCGTAGTGATCAAAAACGAGAGCCCTGTGTGCCTGTGTGGGCAGCTTGCATTTGCTTTTACCACCACGGTGTTGACACTCCATGTTCTGGCAGATATGACCGAGGACACACGACTGGACCTTACAATCCCTCCCCTTTCCACAAGTTAGCGAACGCGAGAGCCACTCTAATGCAGGGAGTAGTTCCTCCGGCAGTGGGTCGTGTTCGAAATTACAGTTCTCATTGGGGCAGATGCCCGTAAGTTGTTTGTTGTTGCAGAACTTTCTGTTGCTAGAAAGTTCTCTAAGTCTGGCAGAAGCCGCTGGGCTTGGGGGCAGCATATATGCGTCTAGTCGCTGCAGAGCGTTATTCACGGCTATCTGGCCGTCTGGTATATCTCTCTTCTTTGGTAGTTGATCTGCAAGATCCCTTCTTCCCGGCGTCACATTCGGCGATGAACCGTCTGATTCATAGAGTGGTGTAGTGACTGAAGTCCTCGCGCGACTGAAACCACTTGCAATCTCGGTGTTGTGATCATCGTGATTATTAACTTGAGGGGAAAATGGCGTCCTAGTTGAGTAGGCCGCCATCGAATTTCTATTATCGATATGGGCATTCTTGCAATCTGCCCCGAATCGACATTTGCCAGTCTGGTAGAACTGACATGGCTTCTGAGATTCGCGTGAGCCGTTGCTCTGGTAGTAGGTTGTATGGCCCGTAGTAGAAGGACCAGCCGAATGAGGATTCTTTATGGGATCCGCGCTTGCGTTAGGTTTGGCGTACAAGGTAGGTTCGAGAGGCACTGTACGGAAAACACCTGGCAATTCCTCAATCCCCAGGTCCAGCCCGAGGAACCGATTGTGAAAAAGGAGTCCAGGTGATCGGATAAGCGTAACTCTGCTCCGATCCCCTCTAAACCTAGTCAGCTCCGAGAGGTAGCCGACATCATGGCAAGCGGCAACAAAAATGTGTTTGCACTGGGCATTCTCGGCATATAGTCCCAAGAGAGCCCGTATTTTGAAATCGGCATTCTCCTTGAGCTCGCCTGCATCGATAAACTCTGTAAGTCCATATGATCTATTAAAACTGGCTACAAAGGGTGAGAGAGATCGCTTGTCGGCGGTCGCGAGTCCAATTTTGGAAAGGGCTCGGGAGAGGTTGGCGAGATTCGCGTAGACACGTATCATTACATCGCAATTATCTAGGCCTTTCTCTCGGAGGCTGTGTTTCACTACGTTATTCAGGTGTTGGGCCGCCTGTGAGCCGCCATCGGCGCCCTGGTGAAGGAAGCGGTCATTAAATATGTATCCGTCTCCGTCGACGAGCACCAGCACGAAGGGGCTCCGTTCTTGAGTACGAGCAAGCTGCTTATAGCGCTCTCTCGTAAGTTTCTCCTCCTCCAAGTCACTTTTTAGTTGCCGGTAGCTGACTAGGAGGTCGGCGTAGTGTTGCAGAAAGTCCTCTTGTGCGATCCTTGCGCGGAACTCGGCCAGCTTCTCAGCTGCCTCGTCAATTTCTCTATCGGTGAGCATAGTTGACATCGTTCGGATCGACCGGCCCTAGAAAGTAAGATAGACGCGGTTGAGGGCGAGCAAGGAAACGATACAGGCAAAGAAATGATTCAGAGGCGAATGATTGAGAGAGCTGTTTGTAGAGCTTGAAATCGGGTTGATGGGTTGCTCCGATAGTATGTAATCATAGAGGCACGGCGAAATGAAACTTGAGTAGAGATTTCAGCTCCAAAGTAGAGGCTATAAGTAGACAATTTACACCAACAAGATGACTCTTCTGTAAACCGGGCGTCATTCCGGTTCAATGAGATGAAGAAGGACTGAAATGATGTGAAAGGAGAAAGTGACATACGGAACAACGAAGGTGGAGGCCAGTCATGAAGGCGGTCGGTCATACAGGGTCTTTCACATGGAATTCTGCCCCGCCAATTGTTACACGGGTCGGCAGTGATAAGGGATAAGGTTAGGTACTAAGCCCTTCAGGTAGGTGGCAGGTATAGGTACCTGACCTACATACATGACTTGAAGCATTCAAGGCAAGATAGGTACCGCAAGGTAGTCTTTGTCTTTTATACAACAACAAACGCATCGATAGACCGCTCTCAAAACACATGCAAAGACGCTGGCAATGCCACAACGCCGGTAAAATAATACCACGACGTCCAGTAACACATGCACCAAATCGCTGTCAGACTATGTATACAGATGCTGTTGACCCATAACCAATCCGAGCAAGCAAGCAAGCCAGCGGGAGAAATGCCGTCAGTTTCCTAATGGACCGACCCATCGCAGGACTGCGTCTCCAGCTATTCTCAAATCCTCCAATACCGCAACTTGAAGATGATTTTGCCGCGTAGATATGATTTAAGAACGTGACGTAGCTGATAGTTTCTCACCGGAAACGACTGGTCTCTCAAGCTATCTTCCTGCACCCAATATCCTGTTTCGAATTTCGGGTTCGGGAGAGTCGGGGGGGAGACTTGCCTCCAATGAGCCGAGAACGTCAGCACGAGGACTTTTCTTGGTTCGCCCCCTTGTCTGTCTTCGACGGGCACTATGTCGCGTTGAATCATCTGATCGAATCTTGAGATGGCTATGCCCCTGTGATCTGCTATTAGCCTCTGGGGATATTGGGACGCGTGCTGGATTGGGAGCCAGACACGTACAGATGAGCAAAGACATCGGTCCAAACCTGCTGGAATATCGTGTTATCGTTCGAGTAGCATGTTGAGCCTGGTAGTAGCCACAGGTTCCGGTCTTCGACCACCCGGCGTGGTTTGCCATCGGTGGTCACACGAACTTCATATCCCTCGGCTACTTTGACAACCATTACCGTGGGCGGCTCGTCATTCACTTGCGGATACCCATTGCGCAAGGCTACGCAAACGTGAACCTCGTCGCAGTTTGGAGCCTCCCGCCGCAGGATTTGCTCAGGCCCCCTGTTCTATCGGCGGGCCCTGAAACCGCATGTGTACATCTTGACGGAAGATTTCTTCTACCCATGTTGTCAGAAACGGACCCTATGCCGGAGGGGCCAAGGCCTGCTTACACTGAATTGGGTCGGGGGTAGTGCTGTCTTTGGCAGATGGACTTCGAATATCGATGTCCTGTGGGAGGGGGGAAGCCGAGAAGGTGAGACAATCTAATCTCCTCTTCTATAAGACTGAAGACGATTTTTTCTCAACTAGGACTGTTCGAAATATGAAGGCTTCGAGTAGACGATTCAACGAATGGCTATTTGGTTTTTTTCTGATAAGCACTGTGAGAGCTATTGGTAGACGAAAGACGACGATAAGTGAATGGGCCAGATAATAGAAACGGGGAACGATGGGAATGGAGAGGACGGGAGTCGAGAGCAGAATGCTTAGCAAGACGATACCAATTCCCACTCGTTATTATGATGGCCTATTACTAGATGAAAGAGTAAGTGACGTTGGATTGTGTACGAGAAAGCGCAAGTTAATAGACGAGAAGGGGCGAGGCCTCGATTCGAAGGAAGCCTCGATGTGCAAGAATATCGAGCAAAGGCGGCCTTCTGATTGAGCAGGGGCGTGGTTTGGAAGGGTGCAATTGAACCCAGGGAACATGAAGCATCTGCCTAGACTCCGCGAGACTGGAGAAACTGCAGGCATGCCGAGGCGAGGAAGCTTATAATTTAAGGGGAACCATCTAGATACTGGGTCTTGAAAAGCCTAAACACGAACACCTTCCTCTATGTCCCACATCATAGGGAGGTACTCATCGACATCGCTTCTCGTTCCTCTCCCGTTGATCATTCTATTCACGGTTATCGTCATCTACTAAGATAGGTTGTCACATGTAGGGAAATATTTCCTTGGCTACTAACTCACGAAGATGATGAACAAATAAGCTCCTGGCATGTGGTTTTCATGCGAGCTCCCCAAGACAAGAGGATCAATCAGAGAAGAGGTTCATATCTCCAAACAACGGAAAGCGCAGCGCAGAATATGTCATCGGGGCATCATCCACGGTAGTTGGCTGATTGATTGATTGATTGAGATAAAAGTGCCTAGAGCAAAGAGGTCGGTTTGAACGGGTGTGCCTCCGCTCCTATAATGGCGACTAGGTCTTCAAGAGAGTGTCTATCTTCTCTCATTCATCCTTGTACCCGGGCCAGTACCACTCCTGCTTAGCTGCAGACGATATTAGTCCAGGCGGGTATTACCTTAGTAAGTAGTAGTAGTATTGGGTTCTAAAAAGAGAAAATCAAGCCAAAAAAAGATTGCTCTCCCAGACCTGAATCGAACAGG